CTTGCTGACCCAACGTCCTCCTGGCGCACGGCGTCATCAATGACCATTTGTTTGCGTCGCCATGTACCCCATCGGCTCCATCCTCATGCTTATGCTCGGCAAGTGGCTCATCCACGCCCGGATGGCAGATTACCGCCTTCATGCTCATGTGGGCGGGCTTCGGTCTCGGCGTCGTCTACGGCAACGACCACGGATACGTAAGTTTGCCCCCCCCCCTTTTTCTTTTTGGCCATGGGCATGCAAGAATGTGGCACCGCGAGACTGACATATTCTGCAGCTTTTCAAGCAGACGCACACCATCCTCGGCACCGTCGTGTGCGTGCTCCTGGTCGTCCAGCCCTTCCTTGGCTTGGTGCACCACATGCACTACAAGAAGCACCAGATGCGCGGCGCTGTCAGCCATTCGCACATTTGGTTTGGTCGCATCGTCCTGCTCCTCGGCATCATCGACGGCGGTCTCGGCATGCAGCTCGCCTCGTCCTCGACAACGTGGATCGTCGCCTACTCGGTCGTCGCCAGCATCACGACGGTGCTGTATGTGCTCGCCATCTGGCTCAAGTCGAGGCGGACGGGCGGTCGCAGGAAGGACGACCTCAGCCTCGGCGGTTCGCCGGTGCGCGAGTCGCACGAGATGAAGTAATCCGTCGCCTGTTGCTTACTGTCTGTGATTCCTCTTTTTTCATTTGTTTGGATCCTTGCTTCTGAATAGGCCAGCATCAAAAGAGCCTCCATGGGTTTTTCTTACAGGGTCGGTCAACAGGGGTCTAGATCGGGGATAGCGCATCCTTGATGTTGCGGCGTTCATAGTCCTAGATATTTGCGCGTCAAGCGTGCAAAATGAAATTATAGTCTTTTCCGTCGATACCTATGACCAGGAGAATCAAAAGAAGTGTATTGAAACCCCAAATATGAGTATGAGGCGAACGGAACTCGATGAAGCTAGCCAAAGAGGTGGTCAGTGAGACCAGCTAGTAGGTCCCTGAAAAAATGACGTCGCCTCGTCGGTTCGATGATGCTTGTTAGGATAGAAATGTCCAATGGGAGCATCACCCCCAGCATCGTCGCCCTCAGCCGCGATACTCGATGACGGCATGACTACTGCCAACCGGTCGAGCGCGCCATGATGCATCGTCCGAAACTTAGTGCTGCTAACGTGGACGATCCCCAGGTTTTGCCTAGCTGCATCTGATCTTGAGCTGCAGTTGTTGCCGTGTTTCTGTCCCTACCGTACCTATTCCGAGAGTGCACGTGACCCGGTTCTCGTACCGGCCCAGGACCTCTGAATTGGGTTTTGCTGAGCTCCACCCAACCCAGATACATCCCAGAGCCTCGCTGCTTTTAGTCTGAGCCGAAACTGAGCGGACCCGAGCTCGGTATTGGCTTAGCTAGGAGTTCGATAGGTCCTAGGCGGCCAGGATGAATGATGCCCCTGAAAAGGCACCGACTACGTAGACTACCGAAGTCTGGACACCAGTTCACGAGCTATAACACCTGCTTCTGGAGGCGGGTTCAGCACTGTCTGACACAAGTAGTCTGGGAGAGTGCGACGTGGCCAGGATGTACCTTCTCGTTCCGAGAGCGCTAGATCATTGCATTGTATGCCTGCTCTCTGTATTGATCACCTCGCTGGGATATCAAAGGTTCGGCTTGGCTGGGTTTTACATGCCATCACCATGGCCCGTACGGCGGAAGGAGTGTGGGCAGCCGGCATTGCCATACCACCAGCCGAATCCCGACACAGTCAACCAGACCACCTTTTTGCAAAGGTATAGTGGCCTGCGACAGGAACGTGCCCAAACGTGGACGACCGGGGGTGATCAGACCCGAGATATAGGTCGTCCTTTCGACGTTGCCTCTCTGCAGACTGGCTTGCCGTCAATGACGACCAGACGTATCGAAAAGCATGTCCAAAAGTTCGAGTAGAATCATTCCTTGAACTTCGGACCGCGAGCTCGGTCCAGCCCTCTCTCGCTGCAAAAACACAGCAAGGTACTGGAAACACGAGTCTGGAATTGATTCCACCTCGGTTTGCCCTGAGAGAAGCCCTATCGTAGATTGTTGCTAGTGTCTTCTGTCTTCCCGAGCCTCCTTGCGCTTTAACTCCCATGAGCAGGGTTTTCGGGGGCTTGAGATCGAGGCCGGAGGCTTGAAGTTGAAAATACGGTGATGGCCATGGTGAACACTTTGGTTTGGTTTCCCTATCGTGCATGTCAAGTAACAATACTACGTGCCCTGTTTTTGAAGTTAGTACCCCAAGAATAACATGACCAGAACGGTCGCGCTGGTTCACCCAGTAATTCCCAGAAGCGTTGCCGAACATAAACATCGGGCAAGGTAGCCTCGACAATAAGTCTCACGGTGAGCGCGATCGATAATATCTGCGATTACATTGCTACACTAGACGAGTACCTTAGCTAGATGCATCACTGCCTTCTCTTCCCCCCACTTCACAAGAATACGTCTCCCACATGTCGAAAGCCTCGTCACTCTTTTCTCAAGCGAGGTAGTCCCTGGACTGGAGTATGAACCGGGGCTTTGGTGGCATTGCGAGCAGGCTGCGAGGCGAGTGTTGGCGAATGCCGCAGGCCAGGTCAGGCAACGACTCAAGATCTATTGACGTTAGGAGGGGCAAAAGATGGCTGGTGTAAGAAATGGGGTCAGTCAGAGGAAGCGATGACAGACAGCGCTTGAGTGTGAGATGGTCAGCCGAAGGAAGAGAGAAAAGCTCATGGCTTGACTGTTGAAGAGTTTCGCGTTGAGTTGCCTAGGTAGGTACCTATGTTACGCCCCTTCTGCACAATGGGACTGAGCCAGGCCTGAGCAAGAGCGGCAAGTACGCTAACCCGATTAGTCCCTCGCCATGGGTGGTGGTAAAACGAAGAACCCGACCACACACACGCACGCAAACCTCAGGCAGAAACCTGCTTCTGTCCCTTCTCCTCCCCCCCGACCACCGCCAGCAGAGAAGAGACTGGGTCATCTAGCCGACCCGGCTCCAGCTTTTTATCGTCAACGACCCCAAAACCTCTCAACGACCCGAGACGCCCACCCTCTTCGTGCATCACCCCCGTCCCCCCAATTGAGCACGCCACGCCCTTCAAGATGCTCGTCCAACTTTCCAGAGCCACCGTACGTCCAATTCCCCAGCTCCTCCGCCATTTCCGGTTTTCTCCGCCGAGGCCGCCCGGCACGATGGCTCTGGCCTGGCCGTTCGAGGCACGGCACGAGAGAGAGAGAGAGAGAGAGGCAGACAAACACACAGCGAGGACAAAACGGCTAACTCGTGTTGAACAGCGCGCCATCCCGGCTGTCACCCGCGCGGCTGCCAGGTCGAACGCCGTCCAGATGAGGAGCTTCATTGCCCCGACCGTTTCCCGACGTGGTGCGTACCCATCCCTTCCCCGACGATAGTGGCATTTGATGGATTGAGGGCGGCTGGGTTGGAGTTGCTCGGGGCGAATGACCGGCGTGGGAAGAGAGAGAGACAGAGAAGCAGGGTGCTACGTCGATGATGCAGAGAAGAACCGAGCTTTTGGCCACAGCCATCGCGGTTGGCACTACACTCATCCTCTCGGCGCATCGGATTGCCTTCTTCTTCTTCTTCTTCTTCTTCCCACTTCAACTGTCGTCATTCTCCTTCCGATTCTTTCCATGCATCTTCCTCAATCCATCTATCCATCCCGTCGATGCCTCACCCATACCCCCGTACATCCGAACCAAGCTAACGCCGAGCGCCCGCCCCCCACAGCCGACTTTGTCCAGGAGCTCTACCTCAAGGAGCTCAAGGCCTACAAGACCCCCGTCGTCAAGGAGTCGGACGCCCAGGGCCAGGTCCAGACCTTCAACCTCCCCAAGACCCCCGCCTCCCCCGAGGAGGCCGACCTCGCCTCCTCCCTCCAGGAGTACGAGTCCATGGCCGTCGAGGTCGAGGGCCAGGAGGTCGCCGACGCCGCCACCCCCGCCGCCAAGCAGAGCTCCTGGCTCGTCGACGAGGACGAGCCCGCCGCCGCCGCCCACTAAACAAACCACCTACAACAACAATCGGACATGTTTTGTGTTCTCGGTCGGGCCGGTTGGATGTGAAAGGAATTCGTGCTGGAGGAGGACGGCTCTCCCTCCTACTACTACTACTACTACCATCTCTACGGCTCTCCGGCTCCCGGAACACCATTGAGGACTGGGAGGGGGGGCTTGATAATGGCGCATGACAGAAGGATGCGGGACAGTGTGGGTGCTGGGAGGTGTAGGTGAGAGAAGAGAACTGCGGACGGCGAGAGAGGATGTGGGGAGCCCAGATGGGGGGAAACCCGGCGAGCGAGAGAAGAGAGAGAGCTGCACATCGCTTCGTCGGCCCCGGATTGGGTTTTTTTTTCCCCCGTGTATATTTCTTTCCCTTGACCGAACCTCTCCGCTGGTTTTTGGAATGCGAAATCCGTGCAAGCGACCCCTTGTGTGTTTTCTCGTCCGAAACTGCTTTGCCGTCGCCGTGACGTTGCTGGTGCCCGTGTCTGTTGTTGCCTGTATTGCCGGTGCTGGTCGGAGCCAGAAGCACACGTCTGCGAAGCGAGACGCCGCCCAGCAACTTGTCGTGGTTATTGCCTGGTCAACAACAGCCTGTAGAGGCCGACTTGACCAACATGGCTTCACGTGGCTACCACAACACTCTTGCCGAGGCATATGCGTATGCATGAGAAACGGCTACGCATCACTGTGCTACTCTTCCACAGGAGGTTGTAGGCAAGGCATCATCAACAGGGGAATGGCTACATCATCGTGTCCGAGATCTTGCTCACCTCCAACCTGTTGAAATGGTACCTAGCTTCCACACACCCTGGGCAGGCATCTTCAGGCCATGTTGGAAATACTGGACGAGACAATGAGAACCAATGTGCTATGTAGTGAACTCTGCTTAAAATACCGTCCCGCCAGCTATCTGCACACTTTGAGTCCCCGTCAGAATCTGGACAGTCTCGTCACTAACAAACCCCTCATTCGACCGCCCGGCGCGGTTCCCCGCTCAACATTATCATTTGCCAATATTGCTTGTGGCCGCACTCCGCCGCACTAACTACCCATGTAGTGAGCGAGTGAGCCTCGTTGCAAGGAACGCAGGATGAACGGGAGCATCCCTCGAGAGCAACATACCCAGCTGTAAGAACTCCAGTAAAGAATACTGGCGAACGCTCACGAATTGCCCAAACGCCTGTTCCTGCCTTCGTCAGGTCGCATGCAAAATCAACCGCCCCGTATGCAACAAATCCGTCGTGGTTCAATATCGACTCCCTCGAGTGAAAGAACTTGTATTTTCTTTTGGTTTTCCGCTCCACCTCCAGGTCCCCACGCAAGCGCTTCCCCTCTGTAGCACAGCTGCCGCGCAGGTTTTTTTAGTCGTCAAACTGAGAGTTCCCAATCATCTGATCGTCGTGGGAGTCCTTGCCGTCATCTCGCTTGCCCGCACGCTCAATGCCGCTCATGCGGTTGCCCCTCTGGGTAGCCACATCGCCGAGGTCGTCCCAGTCGTCGTCTTCCTGTCCTCTGTGGGACCCGTGTGCGTCATCCATTTCCTCGTCATCGTAACGGTTTCCCCGCATCTGGTCATCCAGATGACTCTCATCCACAAAGGTAAAGCCCTGGAAATTGGCCTGCACTGAAGGGGAAAGAGGGGTGGATGTAGCGAATCCTCGGGCCAAGGCGGCCGCTCTTTCGTTCAGAGAACCACTGTTGTCTAGAGCGTTTGTGAACTCGGGGTCAAAGTACGAAACGTCCGTTGCTGAAGTCAGCTTAGGCTTAAACGGCGGCGTGATCAACTTCTTCGCCAGGATATCCCAGTCAATGTCGGCAAAGAATGGATGCCTCTTCAACTCCTCGGCATCGAGGGTGGCACCCAGTCGGTGCTTCGGGTTCCGGTTCAGAAGCCCCTTGACAAAGTTGCGACCTTCTTGAGAGAGCGTATCTCGAGGGAAGCGCACTTTGCCGAATGCGATATTCTTATACATTTGCTGCGTGTCTTCAGCATAAAAGGGGCTCCAGCCGCAGCACATCTCGAACACGAGGACTCCCAGCGACCAGAAGTCTACCATCTTGGTGTACCCAGACTCATCAAGGAGGACCTCGGGAGCGAGGTACTCGGTGGTGCCACAGAATGTGTTGGTGGTTGCATTCTGTGTGAGGTTGGCTTTCGAAAGGCCAAAGTCGCATAGCGCAATATGACCGTTGGCGTCGAGAAGAATGTTTTCCGGCTTCAAGTCTCGGTAGACAATGTCACTCTTGTGTAGGTGCTCGATGGCCAGGATGAGCTCGGCAATGTAGAACTTGGCCCTCTTCTCATCGAAACGCCCCTCCTTCTGCAGATGCCAGAACAGCTCGCCGCCGGACATGTAGTCGGTCACGAGGTAGAGGTCGGATGGCGTTTGGAAAGAGAACTTGAGACCGACAATAAATGGCGAGTCGGACATGGCCGTGCGGACAAGAATGTTTCTCTCGCCAACCGTGTGGGCGACCTCCTTCTTCTGGACAATCACCTTCTTCGATAGGACCTTCATGGCATAAATACGTTCCGTATCCTTCTTGCGCACTTGGTAGACTTGTCCAAATGTTCCCTTTCCGATGAGCTTGAGGATCTGGAAGTCTTCAGGACCAAAGTGCTTCCGTTCTGTTCGTTGATAAGTGGCCTCGACATAGATTTCGCCGGTTGGTGTGTTCTCTGCCATCGTATCGGCGTGGCCGGTGAGCGGATACCACCCACGAACGGGGTTGTCCATGTTGGCTTGGAAATCCACCTGACCGAGGAATTCTTCACCACTGGCGGTGTGGTCATATACCGACAAGGCGACACGCATGTCCGAGTCAACAACGTCACTGAAATGGGTCAGCTTGTATTAACACGGAAGCGCTTTGAAGGCTTGACTCACAAGGCAGCCTCGGCGTCCCAGGTCGGACTGGTAAACGATCGCCGGTTCTTGTTGCGGAAGTTGTTGTAGTCTGTAACGCTCGTGTTGCTGCTTTGGCGACTTCGCATCGGGATGGAGACGGCGGGGCGGCCGGAATCACTGCCCTGGCGCTGGATGGGAATGCCTCCAGGACCAGGTGCGGGTAGGTGGTGATCGTCGTCCTCTTCTTGCACAGAACGTGGACCCGCGGAGATGAGCTCGCTCCTTTGGAAAACAACCACGACATAGGGATCTCTCGCCTTTCGGAGGCCGCGGGCTTCCACAATGTTGATGGTCAACTTTCCCTTGGCGGCAGGGACCTGAGCGCCGCCCGCGCCCCGGGGCGTCTGTGTACCGCTTGCTGGTCCCGTTTCGTTGCTAGTTCGCTTTGAGACCGAAGGTCGGTCTTCAGACTGAGACGGCTGAGCTGAGGAGAGGGCACGTGTGGGAGTTGGTGGACCGCTCTTAACACCCGGGCCTTGCGTTAGCTTCTTGAGCTGCTCGAGAGAGGAAGAAATTTCAAGACTGGCAAGATCAACTCCTGGGCCGTCGGGCGTCTGCGCGAAAGAGGGTGGGGTAACAGGTTGGGAAGGCACAGTCGGGTTAGAAAGATGTGATGCGTGGACGGCATGCGTCGTGACGCCGCTTGAAGGAGAAGACATGATTGTGCTGAGGGACTTGGGAGGGAGATCTGTAGTGCTCTGCTGGCGGAGGGGTAACGGCCGCCCTGATGATGATTGTGCTGTGCTCGTCTCTCCGCTCCACAGGGACAGACTTCGCGTCAGCCGCCCTGCCGATGACCGTCTTGATATCGGCGGGGTCGGATACTGACCGAGGCCTGCAGCCTTGTGGTCACCAAGCGGTTGCGCTTCTTGACTGACACGGGTAGGGCAATAAGACGTGGGCTCTGCAGAACTCGCATTGCACGCTGTGGCGCTTTGAGAAGGGGAACTTGTGCCTTGGTCCATCGTCTGAACCTGCACGCCAGAAGAGGGTGATGCGTTTGCCAGAACCTTGGTGGGAGCAGAAGACAATGCAGGGTCTTGAGTGGAAGATATACGAACCTGTCCAAAGTAGCTCATGATTCCCGGGAGGCGCTTGTCAGACAGGTCGGGCTGCGGAGTTGCCACGCCAGAGCGGGGCGTGTCATAGCCGATCTGGTCGGTCCCATCGTCGTCGGCAGCGGCGGCGGTGGGCCTAAGGATTTGGTCAATAGTGTTCATCGTTGAATAGTCATCGGTCCTAAGGGGGCGTGGAATGTCCTGGCCGTCGCAGGTAGTCTCGACGTCGGAAAAACGCGGAGTGGGATGAAATGGGAAAATTGCTGCTAGCAGGTGCCAAATGACAAGGATCGTGTTCTAGCGTGTGGGCAGGAGCAAAAAGCCAGATGGGGGTAGCAAGACTCTTTGGAGCTCATGAAGCATGTGCGATGCAGGCATGTGTTTATCAGCAGCGAAAGAAAGAAAAAAAAAACCATGCGCCGATGCAGGAGGCAGGTCAAGAGATTTGCAGGCTAGTCAAGGTGGCAGGAATGATGCAAGATGTCAGGGAGCGCAGTGCGGGAGTGAATTTTGCTCCGACGACGCCCTGGTGAAGCGCGATCTAGTCCAGGCTTGTGCCAGGCGGCCAGCAGCAAGAAGGGCGCGTGAAGGTCATGGCGGGGCAAACGTGATGGCATGCCGGGCCCAGGGAAATGGAAGTGGAAAGAGGGGTGATGGCCGAAACGGAGCATGACGAACTGCTGGGCATTGGGCGAGTCAGGCCTCAACCAAGCAGGGCACCTGCGGCGTGAGCCCAGCTTTCGTGACAACCTAGGTGACAGCCTAGGTACGAACCTAGGTAGGAACCCGGGTGCCGAACGGCGTCATTCCGGCCGCGCTCCGCTCGTTCGTCTGCACTGTTGCGGACGGGACAGCACAGAATGCTTTCTCCATTGAGGCATTGAGGCATTGTGCTGTCGTGATGTGATTTGGCATGTGCAAGGTAATAGCAAATGGGCACTTCGGCCTCATGCGGGCCGCAGATTGTGCTGTGAGGGGGAAGCCGGAGGCGACTCGAGGCCATTAATGTCGCAGGCAAATGTCGCAGGCAAGGAACATGGAGGCACTCTTGTCTGTTGCAGCTCGGCCTCCTAGGCTTTGCCAATGTGCATGGCAACAGGGCCGTGGAGGGGCCGGAGGGGGAGCAGTTCGGGTCGTAGATCCATCATGATGTATGCGTTTGATGAAGCTAGCCGAGTCGGGGAACCCTGTCGATGAGGTATGATGTGGTCTGGGGTTGTGATGATGTGTGTGAAGGTTGCGGATTTTGCGGGACGGCGTTCCCTCCCCATCTTCGCTCCGCTCCGTCATCCATGCCACGCGCTTGGGTAGCATGGGCCGAAGCTTGAGCCGAAGCTGGGGCAGCCGGGGAGCTCAAATCGAGGTGGGAGCTTGAGCTTTCGAGCTTGACCTGGTAGTCATCGTGGTGCTGTTGGCGTGTTGGGGAAGGGGAGGGGTCAAAGTTTGGAAGGAGAATGAGGGGGGGACAGGGCCAGTTTGAGGGCCACGAGACGCTTATCAAGTGTTTTCTGACAGCCGAGCTTTCAGGTCTCTCGTAAGA